GCCTGTCTAAAAAAAAAAAAAAAAAAACCAAAAAAACCCCACAAAACAACAACAAAAAAACCTTCATGCTCTATTACTCCACTCCAGTAATTTACAGTTCTTACCAGCCTTGGTTGGTGTAATATTTTAATGCAAATATGCTATACCGTTGCATTTTATTTAAAAAGAAAAAACAAGTTCCCATGCTTGTGGCTAGGGCAATATCCATATGATAGGAATTCACTGAAATCAGCCTCTGATTTCCTGGTCAAGTCTCACTGAACGGGCACTCTTTTCCTGGTGGGTTAGAACCCCTCCAAAGGAAGAAAAAAAAAAAAGGTTAATTAAACTTTACTTGAGATTTTTTTTTTAAAAAAAGGTCCCATGTGTGATAAACCCACCTAAGGCAGAAACACCAATTCTTATTTCCTTACATCCCATCCCATTGCAAATTTACATCTGAGTAACATTATTTAATTAGGATTCCATTTTCCAACCTGCTTTGTGTAGTTCGAAAGTGTTTGAATACACGGCCACTTTACTGCTCTGATGTAAAACGCTGCTGAAAAAGTGGTCTGTCCATGCTACACCACCTTTAAATTGTATATATAATTTTATAAATGATATAAAATCTGCTTCTAGTCCCTGAAAACACACACACGCACGCACACGCACGCACACACACACACACACACACAAGCATGGCACACTGCAATTTTGGAAAGATTTAAAATATGTGATTTCTGCTGGTACCTACTGTATTGGGTTTTATATAAAGCTTTTTTCAATAAGGTAAATTGTTACATGACAAACTCATCTTCCACCATTATCATCTGCTGTTTGTGTTTAACAACAGGAGTGCCGCTCTAACAAAACTGTTGTAATGGCTGTACAAATTACTCAGCTGAAAGCTTTTCACCAAACAAAACAGTATTAATCAGCAGTTCTTATGAAGGTGCTAATTAAAAACAATTTTCTTCCTCAGTTTGCAATACTAAAGCCATCTTCACTTGCACAGTTTCCAATATACAGCTACTGTATTTGCTCACACTTCAGGCCCTCTATTAACTATTGAATCTCCTATTAGCCATTTTATTACATTTCTGTTTACAAGCTTGTTGACATTTTAAAAGTCACAGTATGATCTGTTTTATCTATTTAAAAAATGTATTAATTGAAAAGTCAGGGAGACCAAAAAAAAAAAAAAAAAAAAAAAAAAAAAAAAAAAAAAAAAAGGCAAAATATAGACTCCAAATGCAGACTTCCAGGGCAGTGAGCACAGTGAGCTTTTAACCACAGCCTAGGCAGTCAGCTTCCTGGGTAAAACAAAGTCTGAGAATTAAAAGTGGCATTTTGGGCTTAATGGTTTGTTAAACACCAACAAGCTCCTTCCTAATTTGGAAACAGTCCACTCAGGAAAACATATTTGCCCTGTCTAAATTCAGTTTCTAAGGAGACTGACTTTCAAATCAATCTTTCTAATCTATGAGATACACTCTGCATAATTATGACATTGCGGGCTGTCTGAACTCAGGAGATTTTGATCTGGTGTGAGGAGCAGATCTGGAATCTGGGAACTGGAGCCCCAATCTAGGGTCTAAATAGCCTCATCTTCCTTCTAAGTGTGTGTGTGTGTGTGTGTGTGTGTGTGTGTGTGTGTGTGTGTGTGTACCCACGTGCGGGCACGGGCACACCTACATCTACTTTCATTCCCTCCCTCATGTGGGTGTCCTCCCTCCTCCACTACCAGAATCCAATGAAAGGGTCCTGCTGGACGATGCCACCAAATTGTTTGGCACAGATTGGAAACAAGTCGAATGCTAAGACAAACTCCATGGAAGCTGGGTTTAGGGAAGGGGATGGTCTATTCCTATTAAACAAGGGAAAGTCTAACCCTTAGGAGAAGGTATGCTCCACTTTGGCAGTGGGAAGAAGGAAACCACCACAACAACCACAACAAACCCACCACCACAACAGCCTCCTGCCTATGCTATTAAAATCAGCTTCTTCAAGTGTCAAAAGCAGTTAACTAGTTCAGGACAGACACCTGGCTGTTGAAATAGGGCTCCGGAGGGCCACTAATCCTTCCATTCACTCGGTTAACTGCTGGATCCCCCAAATTGATTCAACAGGTATGCTGTGGTAAATTCAGCCCATACTGAAGCCAAAGGGAAAATCAGCAAGGGGTGGGCAGCTCTTCTCTGAAAACACCCGAGGAACCAGCCAGAAAAGCTTTTATGGCCCCGACAAGTTTTCTGCTGAATACTGAGCACCTAAATTACTCTTCCCTAATGGAAGTTACATTTTCATGCTCAGTCAAAAAGCCAACAAAATACACAATTTATACAAAATAGCATCAACCTCTTAGGTACTCTTTGCTAGCACTTTCATCCCAATTCACAGCCTATGTCTTGCTATAAAATAAAATATATTTCTTATAACCAAGTTGTATGTAGCTGTTCATACCACCGCATCAGGACTGACCACGGGTGATGTGGAAAACATTCTTACGTCCAACCCAATCTACTTAGTATGATAAAGGGAAATCATGAGTTTTATCAGGAGATACAGGTACACGGAGAAGAGGAATATCATAATAATCCTACTGATTTCTTAAGTGGACAGGCCTCCTTTTGAAACAAACACATATATAATTACCTAATAGACAATTATGGAAGGGGCATTTCAACTGCAATTATACAACCCAACAATGATGCATACAAATCGTTCTTAATCATAAAGTTCAAAAGAAATGAAAATGGTAACCTTTCTAAAGCAGCTATATATTTTTTTCCTTCTCAATATTGGCATTTCATTACAATTTCAGGAAATAAAAACACCTTAAAATTATTCAATACCACACAACGTGAGTTCCTCACCAACCTCCCAAGAGCCTGAACTAGAGACATCTCCAGGTGAGGAGCCCATAAAGATCAGCTCTATGAAGCCTTTAACATTTTACAGGAGACCCTCTGGGTTTTAATCACCATAAGCTTATTTCTTTACCAGGCATCTCTTGTCAAGAAAAGCCCAATTCTTACACCCCATCTCAAGCTTGGGAACCTATACATACCATTCTCAGATACATTTTTTTAAAGAATACATCACTAGTCCCCTTTTAAAGTAAAATTTCTCCCAAAGAAATAAACAGTGGATGTCTACACCCACAACACACAAATGCAAATGGAATTCTTGCCGATCCATGTCTTCTCATGGGAAAAAAAAAAAATGACAATATTCTCTACGTTTTAAAGAAAAAAGAAAAAGGAGAGCCCATCTCAGATGCCACTGTAGGGATGGGCTTTCTTTGTCTGGCTGATTTAGTTGCAGGTTTAATGGAAGAAATAATTCCGGCTGTTTTTCCACCCGTATAAATGGAACTACCTGTGTTGCCTTTTAAAACATTCCAAATTCTAATTTTTAAACAAGAAAATGTGAAGCCAGTGTGCAATCTATACAGTCGCCAAAGGAGAGCTGCCACTAGCTGAACTACTCGGCTAAATGGCTGGTTTGCATTGCCCTGGTCTTTATCTAGCACTGAGAATAGACTGCTGTTTTATCCAAAGAGGAATAAATTGCTGTTATTGTGATGTTAGCCCATCGCTTGGCATTGCAATTCAAGTTTTTGTGAGAAAGAAATGTATGATCTAACTGCGACTTGACCTATGCCTTCCAAGATCCATCTAGGTGCTCTAATGGAGCAGAAAAAGTGGTGAATACAAGGACATGCAAACTGATGGTGAAAAATTTGTTTGATGATAGAAGTGAGCAGAGGAGACATGTGAGAGTGGCTGTTTTTATGACAGCTAAGTTTGTTTAACATGCAAAAGGATTTGCCCCCCAGTCTCCCACCTAGCACTTTAATTGTATCACACGAGATACATGCTTTGCCTCCACTGAAGATATGAGCATATATAGCTAACCTGCTAATGACATTACTGCTAACGTGGGCACAGATGATTCCTTACAGATAAACATCTGAATTTCCACAAAAGGCATTAAAGCTTCTCGCGGATGCACCAGGCAAGGATACGCTTGGGTTCCCCGCAGAAAAGTCATTCTTTCTTAATCCTAGGTAGCACCTATGAAATGTTTATTACACACTTGAATCCCAGCACACAACAAGATGTACTTACTTTAAATAAGATAATTGTGTGATTGAGTTTTTAAAAACTCCCCCCTGGTCGCAATCCAGTTTAGCAACCATTTATTCAAAATTTCTCTGGAAAGGACCTATTTTGAAAGAGGCCTATTTTGAAAGCGGCAGTTAGATGTGAGCCCCGATAAAGGCTCACTTTTCATTCATAGTCAGAGCCTAAATGTGCTCTTCTTGTACCTAAACAGATAATAAGCACTCAGCACACTCCTCCTCCTTGACACAACACATTGAGACTAATCACACATAATTGGAGAGGAGGAGCAGAGGGCTGGCCACGCTATTGTGTCCAGAGGACAAACGGTCAGTTTATGAGGCTTTGGGCTGATGTAGTCATTTCTTATACATCTACAGGGAAAAAAACATCCTGTTGAAAAGGGAAAAGGAGAACGAGAGAGAGAGACAGAAAAAAAAAAAAAAAAGATGGCAGATTGAATACAATTAATTTGAGGGAGGTGAGAAAGATATGCCTTTATTTCTTTCTTTTCCCAACCAGGAAAGAATCATGATGTTAGCTGTTTACAGGTTAAAAACTACCACCACAAAGTAAAACAAAGACCAAGATATTTTCTAAAAGGGCTGGCGGGGGTGGGAATCAACCAAAAGAAATTCTGTCTCAAAAGGAAAAATATTTAGGATTCTCATAAGTCCAATTCAAATCGCAGGCTGTTTATAGATATTTGAAGACAAACAAAGGTTTGGCACAAGAAGAGCAGACGATAAAAGGAGGAGTCCAGCAAGGCTGGAAATGACGTGAGTGAGGACAGGTGGACTCCAAAACCCACATGTGGAATGTTGCAAAGGTGGTGGTGGGGGGGGGGGGGCTCACAAATCTCAGGGGGCCTCAGGGAGCCTCCTCAGGGAGGATTTAAAAAAAATCCCATCCCGGACTTCTGTTTTTGTGAAAATATTCCCTGTGCACTTGGTGTTTTCTTCGTCTTTTGAACATCTTAATCTTCTATCCATTTTTGGTTAAAATAAGCAGAAGCGGGTAATGAAGGTTTTCTTCATATACATCCTGGTTTTCCTTTTTCAACTGAAAACAATAACAGAACAAAAAAGGTAAGGAGACTCAGATTAGGAATTTTGACCAGTAGTTTGTTTTTCTTTTTTTTTAATATAATTTATTGTCAAGTTGGCTAACATACAGTGTATACAGTGTGCTCTTGGCTTCGGGGTAGATTCCCATGATTCATCGCTTGCATACAACACCCAGTGCTCATCCCAACAAGTGCCTCCTCAGTGCCCATCACCCATTTCCCCCTCTCCCCTGCCTCTCCCCCATTAACCCTCAGTTTGTTCTCTGTATTCAAGAGTCTCTTATGGGTTTTCCAGTAGTTTTTCATGCCGAATGCAACGAAGACTTCTTACCCGAATATATTGTTCTGGAAAATAAATCAAAAAAAGCAACTCAAAGTAGTTTCAGTGGCATTGGCATGATAGTACCATGCACCAGGCTGGGATGTTTCCTGGGAGGGTGGGAGGGGTGGGGGGGGGCAGGGTAAGGAGGAAAGGAGGAGAGCAGGGTGGTTTTTTTTCATAAATGACAGTATTTGTGACCTCTATGAACTGTGAGGCACTTCAGTGAAGGGAAAGCTGGAGGCTCAGTCATCTGCACCTGACCAGCCATTTGGCATCGAAGTTTCTGCTCTTGGTCTACTGTGTCCCACACCTGAGCCCCAGGAGCAAGGAGGCCAGGCATTTCAGATCTCTTGGAGACTGGCAGCACCTGGGCACAAGGGACAGGTTTCCAGGCGTAAGACATTTCAAAGGCTCTCCAGCTGCTCCTTAGGGGGGGGTTAATATTAATGATAATCCAAAAACTCTTTTCTCTGAGGAGGAAAACAGAGTCCAACAATAGAGCAGCAAGCTTCGATACCATTCAGGTGAAGTTCTGAGGGCCTTTCCGTGGTAGTTTTAAAAATCCAATCAGGGTTCTCAAATCTAGAGTACTCTTTTCCTCATTCGGCCAGAAGACTTTGATGGTCATATTTATATGTCTCCTGGCAAAAAATAATTTGCTATTTATAAAGACAAAAATTAGTATTTTGACATCGGCGTTTCTGAGCCAATTGTTAATTCAGTCTTTAAGTGATAAGGATCAGAAATGAATATTTCTTTTAATGATACACGGAACCAATTCTTTTATTGTTTTGAATCAGATTACCCCCCCCCCCCCAACTACATGAATGGCTCCAACATGACACTTTCCTGGATTAGTATAGGTCTGGGGCATATTAACTTGAATTTTTTCATGTTTCTTCTAAATCATATTCCCAAACTGTGACACACCCTCACCGGTAAGGACCAGGAGCAACGGGCCGGCTTTACCTCCCTCACTGGGGAACAGAAAGCCAACCTCGCCTGTACTCTCTAATCCATTTTCACAAGAAAAGATGGTGGTGCAGTCACTGAGGTAAGTAACTTCCTTCTGTTTTCTTAGACGGGACTTTGCTTTGTTTACAGATGATTAGTTGCCTACTTAGAAAGATCCCCTGGAATTTTGTTACCGCCAAAGTAGTGACAGTGTTAATCCCCAACACACGGTCCCTTAACATCACTCTTAAAAAAAAAAAAAAAAAAAAAAAAGGCCAAGAAAATGGCTTCACAAACTTCCCAATCCAACCCCACTACCTAGGGCCTGCCAGCTGTAAATACCTTTGTTGCCAGCCGCCCCAGTGATAGGAGCTCGCTGACATACATTACAGAGGGAAGAGGGGGTCAGGCTAGCTCGGTTCTTCCTCAGGGATTGGGGATGGAGGAAAGTTGATTACTCAGCGTGAGTCAGCTGACCTACTCACTCACAATGCACTAATATACAGAGACTCAAATGAGCTCTTTATATAGTCCCCGAGGTAATATGTGGGATAAATAATTCTTCTGTAAATATGGGTTAGAAATCACTTTTAACTTGGATTCTGTGCTGACCTCTGGAGGCCAAAGCAGAGGCTTCCTTGCTAGAAGGGGCCAGGGGCCAGCCCCCGCACTGACTGTGAGCCCTTCCTGCCACGGGGAAGAACCAACGCCCCTCAAAGGCATCACCACACCCCCAGCACCAGATCATTTCTGAACCAAGTCTGTCATGTCAGGGCACCTGAACACACACAAGGCTGTTGGGAAACACTTGCTGTCGACGAGGGAATGTGATGTGGTCTAAGAGTAATTCCATTTGCCCAGGCTGTACTTCTCTGCTCAATTGATAATTACAATTTTAAGAAATGAAAACCACCTTGAAAAAAAATGAACAAAAAGCAAATTGCGAATAAAACAATTTTTCAATTTCATCGGTTAAAACAGGGTCTTTGAGGACCCAACTAAATTACATAGCGGCTATTAGTAACATTATGCTTTACTTCATAATTGGATGTAACACGCTCAGCCTCGCCACGGCGCTGAGCGAGCAGCAGCACTAGGGACAGAGTTCAGACTGTTTACCCTTTACAGTATCCACAATTATCAACAGCACACCACACAGATTATAAGCACCAGCCACTTGTAAAGTGGCATTTTGAATAGATAAGCAGAAGTGCAATACGGCCATGCTTTTAACACAATGTACCGACTTCACAAATGAGCCCAAGGCTGTTTTCACCGTGGAGTCTACAAAATACAGAAAATAAACACACCGGTGGTTTTGCAAAAGTTAAAAAAACAAAAACAGAAACAAACCCCAAAACCTGTGGCATGTAGATTTCAAAGACTGTCTGCATGAATGAGAGTATTTTCATCAACTGATTTCAAGCCAGCGGTAAGCTCCAAGTGAGGTCTCCACCTTGAGAAACAATTTGCTTATCTTAACATCCTAAAGGTTTTGAGACACGGGCAAGGCACGGGATTCCTAGCCTGGAGGAGACCAAGAGGTTGGGAAGGAGGGAAGTGTTCTATTTTTCTTCCCCGTCGCCTGGAGGAACAGAAAGGCAATATTTTTTAAAACACCACACCTTCGGCCGCCTGGTTCCTGAGCACGCTGGCTGCATGGTGTGGGCACAATTTAACAAAAGCACTGGCAGAAAAGTGCAGAATGGCACCGTTTTGATTACAGGCTTGCTTTTTAACGGAAATAAAATTTCACAGTTAACAATGAGAGGTGAAAAGTTTAAGAGGCAAAGCTGTTCCTCCTGATCACTGACTGTTAATCAGCTTCATGGGTGGTTGCCTAAATCTGTAGATTTTTTTTTTTTTTTACCTTCCACTACTGCCAAGATTGTAACTAA